ATACTATGGATTATACAACCTATGTATTATGTATTATACTTATGGCCTATGTATTTAGAGAAAGGTAGGATAAAATTATAATAAATAAATATATACATACACTAATAAAATGGATGACGTTAGGAAAAGTACGAAAATTGAGAAGTTAATGTTAGCGTTTTTACTAAAAATAAGAAAGGGACACCCATGCTTTTCCTGCTCACTCTAGCATGAACAAGAATTGTGAGTGAGGACACAGTTAGGAATGAAGCTTATCCTCAACAGATGCAGTTAATTTCTGTATGAAAGGTATAGAAAGAAACAACCTCAAAGTATAATTGTGAATGAAAGAGTTTAAGAGCTGTGTCCATCTTGTTTCTTTGCTAGGGATCCCACTCTGTAATCCTGTGCCTTCATTCACTTAGAGAAACTGCAACTTTATGCAGATTCATTGTTCTCTTGCAACCTTTTTACCCCAGCCATCCTGTTGTTGCTCCTACCTTTGTGCCTCTAGGTGAACACCCCTCAAAAGAAATCCATATTTTGCATATGATATGGTCTTTGTGGAAACTCTGAATGCAAATATATTACCCTGCAATATATCTTTTTTTTTTTGATGCTGTCCTATTTTAAAGAAAACTACTCTAAAGAATCACAAAAGGAAATGCAGTTTGACTTGATATGCCACTTGATTATTGATTGTTCGCAAACAGTTGACATTTTACTGACAATATTGGAGAAAGCTTTCCATGTTCAGAACAAATTTGAACACTCTGCAAGATGGCTCCATTTGCAGACTTAACAGAGGAATCATCCTGACTTTTGCTTTTCAATGGGTGATGAAGATGTGGTGCTCTTCTTAACCATTGTCAGTACTGGAGATTCCACTGACAAGATTGCTGGACTGGAGATTGGTCTCCCAGGGTAGTTCATGAGGTATATTCCAAAGTTTGTCTGGAAAAGTAAATAGTGAATTAGTATGTCTATACAATCAAATATACTGTAGATTGTGCTCAGTATTAATTTGCAACATGTCTGGGAGGACAACACAAATTCCAACATCTACAGGTAAGAACCATTTCCACTAGTACATTATCTCCTATTTATATTACCTCAGCTTTATTTTTAATTTCTGCCCCTGATAATGAGAAAGAGGGGGTGGCCATTCTGGGTAGAATCAACTTGCTAAAATCTCAAGAGACAAATGGTGGCTGAGTAAAGGCCAAGGCAGATTTCTGATGTTCTGATGGCTAAACATACATGTGATCTTGGGAGGCAGCACCCATTCCCATTCCATTACCCTGACAAACCCCCAAATATTTTTCTTTTTTTACTAAAAATCCTCTTAATGAAAGACCCTATCTCACACTCTCTAGTGGTCAAATATTTTAGAAAAGCAAAAAAGGGGTACTGATGGCCCCGAGGATTCACCAGTTCATAGGGAAATCCCCCGCCCACTCCACAGGGATGTGTGTTCTGCCAAGAAGGGAGGGATCATAACAGACAACAAGTGAAGTCCCAGACAGACACTGAAAGCAAAATCTGCCCCTCAGTGAAAGGGTGTGGGAATGAGAAACAAGCGGCTAAAATATCAAGTACCATCCTTTGGAAAAGGTGGCCCGACTCAGCATGCATGACTGGATGCTGACAGGAATTTTTGAAGCATAAGAAAAACAAAAGGGCACAGGATTCTAATCTATCATGAAACCCCAAATGGCAGCTCCTACTCACTTTGTCATGGCAGGAGTTTGATGACAGTAGCATCATACAGTTTTTGTCTTCTGTAGCTATTAGCTTCCAAGACCCAGTTAATGAAAGAGCATTACATGAGTTGTAACGCTAGTAAAGCAGCCAAGGTCCATGTTCAGTAAACCCCAGATTCAAATTCAGGAAATAACCACTCATTAGAAAATAAGAGAACTGTTCCGACAAGATGAGCACTACATAGCCTATAAAGCTTTCAGGTTACTTTTCTTGCAACTCATGTAACTAATTTTCCCCAACAATTTTAATTCATAGGCCAATTAGCAACCCACGCCTGTCCATTTATTGCATATTCCTTTCCTCCAATCCTACTAGACTGACTGACTTGAGTACAGCATCCATCTAAATAATTAGAAGGCTGCTCTTTTTCATTTCTGTGAGCCTGATAGCTTTGCCCCCACTGAGGAGTGTGAGCCTTCTACCTCCTCGCGAGCAAGCGTGTGCCTCCACACCTGCAACTCCCCTGTAGACTGGAGCAGAGAGATGGATGACACCCTACAGAGTGTGCAGGTGAGCATGGGGGCCTGAAGATTTAAGGATGAGAGTGAGTCAGAAGAAGGAAAAGATGGCTAGGCTGATGTGGTAGACTGGGAGTCACTTGAAGCCCAGGAGGTGCCCATGGTGGCAGAATGCTCCACCAAGGGTTGGGAACTATTGGCCACCGGGACTCTGACACTGACCACAGGGAATAATTCATCATTCCTCTGGGGGAAGTGGTACAGGTGGGAAAGGATAAGGCTAGGCAAAGGAGGGTGAAGTGCTGGAAGGACCAATGCTGGGCATGCCACCTCCAAAGGAAGCCACAGGGGCACTTTTTACCAATGCTGGCCTCCATCCAGATGGATAGGCTGAGTTGGCTAGTCGCCCCACCTCCAACTATGCCACTGCAGTCACTGTGTTGGCAATAGAATACCTCCTGGGGCCAGTTGAACTTTGGATCTGCTTCACATGATGTCACACCCATGTCCTCCACCCTTGGGAGACATCCCACAGCAGCTGGAGTAGAAATTGAGGTTACCCTGATGCAAGGCAGCCTCCAAGCCTGAATCAAGCATCCTTGTTATGACACCCCATGGCTTAGTGCACCTGAGGGTAGAGGAGGCAGGGCACCATCCTCCCCAGCTGTAAGAACTGGAACTATCCCATTTAGGACAAAGTAAAATTCCCTGGCCCCGTCACAGATTGCTGCCTTGTCATGGTGAAGGGGTTTGAGTAATTCAGAGAAGCTATGGGCTGTGCTGTGCAGGGACACCCAAGATGAACAGGTCATAGTGGAGAGTTCTGACTAAACGCGATCCCCCTGGAGCAGTAACTGGCAAGCCACTCCAGTATCTTTGCCAAGAAAACTCCATGGACAGAAAAAAAAGGCAAAAAGAGATGACGCTGGTAGATGGGACCCTCAGGTCAGAAGGTGTCCAACATGTTACTGAGGAAGAGTAGAGGATAAGTACAAGTAGCCCCAGAGCTAATGAAGTGGTTGGGCCAAAGCTGAAAGGACGCTCAGCTGTGGACATGCCTGGAAGTGAAAAGAAAGTCCAATGCTACAAAGAAAATTACAGTCAACCCTGGACTTACAAACTTAATCCATTCCGGAAGGAAGTTTGTAAGTCGAAAAGTTCGCAAGTCGAATCAGCATTTCCCATAGGAATGCATTGAAAACCAATTAATCCGTTCCGGCTGTTTTTGGTTCTCAGGTCGAGGGGCAGTTTGTAACTCAAATCATTAGTTCCCATAGGAACTAATGCAATACTGGTTAATACGTTCCTACCACTAGGGGCAGCATTTTTCCTTTTTTTCCTTTTAACCTAAGA